ACAGCCACTCCTGCAGATGAAATGACGTGGCCAAGAAACTGAATCTCAGGAAACCAGAATTCATACTTGGATGGTTTGACATGTAATTGATGCTCCCTCAAAATTTGCAAGACTATCTTTAAATGCTCTACGTGCTCTTCTTCACTCTTGGAATAGATTAGAATATCATCAATGAAGACCACTACAAACTGATCTAAATTTGATTTGAAGATCTGATTCATATAACTCATGAACACGACCGGAGCATTAGTCAGCCCAAATGGGATCACTAAGTACTCGTAGTGCCCATATCTGGATCGGAAAGTCGTATTCGGAATATCCTCTGCTTTTACCCGTATCTGGTGATATTCGAAACTGAGATCAATCTTTGAGAATACTGAAGCACCCCTAACCTGATCCAACAGATCATCAATGCGGGGTAGAGGGTACTTGTTCTTCACCGTTACCTTATTTAATTCCCGGTAATCCGTGCACAACCTCATAGTCTTGTCCTTCTTCTTCACGAAGATGACTGGTGCACTCCAAAGAGATACACTCGGTCTAATGAACTTCTTACTAGACAATTCTTCAATCTGCTTTTTCAACTTTGCAAGCTCTAAATGTGACATCCGGTAGGGATCCAAGGAGATAGGCCCCACATCAAGCAATAAGTCAATGGAGAATTCAATCTCCCTCTTTGGAGAAAACTGAGGAATTTCTTTTGGAAACACGTCTTCAAACTCGCACACTACAGGAATGTTAGAAGTTGGTTCCTTGGAGGCTCCTACTAGTCCTCCCACAATAATGTATCCCGCATCTCCCTCATTTAGATCCTTCTTCAATTGAGGTACAGATAAGTATAAACTGTCCTACTTCTCTCCCTTTGCAGAAATGAAAATCTTCTTGCTACAACAATCAATCATCACACCATATTTGACTAGCCAGTCCATGCCCAGAATAATGTGTAGATTCATTCCCTCAAGCACTATCAAATCCACCATATACTCTTCTTTCTCAAATATGAATCTGACTTCTTTGCACATCAAAAAGTAGAAACAATGTCTCTGATGGCAATCTTCACTACCATAGGAGACATGAACTCTTGAATGGGAAGATGAACCCCATTAGCAACAAATTCCGATATAAAATAGTGGGTAGCTTCTGAATCAAACATAGCATCAAAAGCATATCCTTTGATAAAAATGGTACCTCTGATCAGATTAGGAGACCTCTCTGTCTCATGTTGAGTGACTGTATAAACTCTGGCACTAGTGGGTGCTGGAGACTCCTCAATGACCATCAGAGTCGGAACAGCCTGGATGGGAACTGCCTGGATAGCTGCCACATGCCCCTTTCTCTGGGGGAACTCCCTAGAGAAATGTCCAACCTGTCTATAACTGAAACATATATTCTTCCCGAGCTGACACACACACAAAATGTGATTTCCCACACTTAGCACACGTGGGAACCTTTCCAGTTCTAGCTTTCCCACTTCCATTCTTAACATTACCAATCTTCTTAAACTTGTTGTTCTGATTCACCTGTAAGCCCTTTCCCTTTCCCTTCCAGTGAGTAGTGCTACTGCTGTAACTCTTTCCAGCTCCATCCTTGTCATGGCATTTCTTAATCAATTCCACAAAATCTTTTGTACAATGGCCAGCCAGCTTATCTCATTCAAACCCTTTTTGAATCTAAAGGCTTTGTTTTCTGGAGTGAAGGGAGCTCTGCCGTTGCATGAATACTTTGCCAATCTGTTGAACTTACTCAGGTACTCATCAATGGTCATGTTTCCCTACTTAAGGTCTTCAAATTCACTCATCTTCTTTTCCTTAGCTTCTTCAGGGAAGTACTTCAGCAGGAAATGCCTCTCAAACAATGGCCAAGTGATACCATAACCTTGGCATTCAAGTGGGTGTCTAACATTGGTCCACCAATTAGTTACATCACCCTGTAACATATAAGTTGCATAAAGGAGCTTGGTGTTGGCATCACACTCCATCACCTGGAATATCCGATCCATCTCCTGAAGCCACTCCAATGCAGCAATGGGTTCTCTTTCATCCTTATAATGGGGTTGAGAAGGCTTTCTGAAAGTATTTAACATTCTTTCCTGGGTCTCTCGGTTAAAGACCTGTGGTCTGGCAGATCTATCAACAAAAACTACAGGGGGTATGTCACGTCCCCTGTGAACAGATGCCTCCGCCTCCTGGTTGGCATCGCCAACACCCTCCTATTCCAGCACGACAGGCTCAACCACAAGAATCAGATCAGCTATTTGTGCAACCTGCTGCTGTACCGGTGGTGTAGGTGGTGGTGGAGGTGGTGTAGGTCCTCCACGTACCATAGCCAACAACAGTCTGATTATCTTTGCATTGGCCAACCTGTTTTGCGCTATGAGGTTCCTCGTGTGCTCCCTATCTCGCTCCCTAGCTTCTTCTATTCTTCTTAGGTCAGCTTCCTTTGTCTCATTCAAGGTTTGCTGAAGCGCCGCTAAAGCAGCATCAACGGGGTTCGGTGGTTGATTCTGAACTAACCGTCGTGGTCTCCCTCGAGGAACCATGATATCTGCACACAACTGCACAAGGTATGAGTTAGCTACGCTCAATCATATGATGACATATGCATTATCATAACACTCAAGAGACACTCAATAGGTAGTTCCAACACTTAAGCAATATATTAATGAACGTCCCGGTGAAACTGCTCTGATATCATAAATGTAACACCTCGTAATACTCTGGTTGTTAAACATCATGATATTTTAGCGTACACAGTGGAAGACTTTATTTTATTAAATAAAGAATCGTCTTTTAAAAATATGAGTTAATTTTTTCCAAAACATTTTCTAAAAATATTTCCAAAATCGTTCACATGAGATATTGCGTAAGCGTAAATCTAAGACATACAACTACTAATTAATCTCATTAGCCCTTATTAGTCGCCATTGACTAACCGGATATGACAACAAGTGTCATTCCTGTCAGAGTCTCACAGATAGCATAACGGTTGTTTAACAGATAACTAGGAGATAAGAATCTCACTCCATAATACAATCCTGATAGGCACAGTTTATAAAATCAGACAGCTCGCAAGTCCCACACGGACTGTGATCCCCTCACAGGGTCAATGCATACATAATGACTCTGTGCCCAAATAATTACATCTATACATCATATCTATGTGTCCTCATCACATGCATCTAACATAACTCATAATAAATACATCCATAATCCAGAAGCTCAATAATAACAATCCTGAGCATTATTACATACAACAATATAGTCTTAAAATAATCTAACTAGGCATGCCAAAACACTATGCATGCCATATAACAAAATAACAGCGCAACATAAACAGCAACGTCAATCCACTAATCCGTAGCTGGGCCCTTGCCCCTAGAAGGCTCACTGCCACCATGGGTACCTGAAATGATGTCCCCAAAAAGGGGTGAGATAAACATCTCAGTAAGCTCAAGGTTTTAGAGGATCCTCTAATCCCCTGAGCCCACTTCCCGCATGATAAGTCAGATATAAAGCATATATAACAAACATACAGCATAAACATAGCATCATAACTCATCCTCTGGTTAGCTATTCAAGGGCTCTCCCCAAGAATAGCTAACTGAAATGTTCAACATGCCTAGTGTGACTCCCAGGGTCAAGCCATATGCAGTCAACACAAACTGTAGTATAAAATAACTCTCAGGGTCATGCCATAGACAGTCTACATACCATGATCACTGGCCAGGATCCTCATAACATATATCATCAGTGTCATAACATCAAGAATCATATAATATCTATATGCATGTGAATGAATGCATATATACAACATATCACATACTTTCACACAATTCAACCATAATGCCCACCATCATGGTGGGGCCACAAGAGAGAGGAGCAATCAAAATCGGGAGCTTACCTCAAGGAGCTTAGCACAAGGCCACACTCCAATATAAACACTATGCTCCAAATCAATCCTCAAGTGCAAGGTTCTTTAGGCACACCTAGAGTAGGAACCATTCACATCATTAATTACATATTAATTAATCAAGTCATATCCAAGACTTAATCATTTAATGATTCCACTTTTCATACTCATATGCCAATAATATAACCATTACCAGTCTAGACCATTTATTACTTAATTACATGTTTTTAGTGCATTATGAAGTGTTAACCTGGTATGCAATCAACCAAATAGGTCAAACACCTTACATAACCTTAGAACCACACTCTAGGACCACTAAGGTAACTTAGATTATTTTCAACACTTCCAAGTCATAATATTCCCTCAAGGTCGAACATATATCCTTAGGCAAGTCCTAGGTTAGATTTTCAATTTACAAATTGATTCAAGCCTTGAACACACATTAAACCCTAAATCATCCTTAAATATAATTTTTGCACCTAAAACCCTAATTATCTCACACATGGCCGAATTGTATAGGGTATTATTCCTTCGGATTTTCTTTCATTAGATTACATGATCATGTGTCCATAAACTAGTCTTAAGCCCTTTTCTTTGATTTTGGTTTTAGAATTTATATTATAATTTCAGAGAATATTGTTTATCTTTGACATAAACATTTAATTCTATCAGCCGTTAAGTAAAGTTATAGAAGGAACTAGATGCTCCTTTTATAATAAAATACATTATATAGTAACTGATGTTTGACATTTAGCCTGTGTCTCATTCAATGTTGATATTTTTAAAATATTATTCATATAATATTTTTTAAGAAATAAAAATATATATTAAAATGTTACAGCAGTTACATCATTTAAGTAGCTTTTAAGAGCATTGTCGTAATCATTTAATTTTAATTTTTTAAATCCTTTTTACATCTAAAAAAGAATTGTGGTATTTCATTGTGTCTCACTTTGCTCTTTATTTAAACCTGCTCCAAATCCTTAGTATTTCATTCCTTCTTTAACATTTGTTTCCTGCTCCTCTCCCTCACTAAATCCTTGATCTTTCATTCCTTTTTCTCCCTGCTTAAAATTCTAACTCTTATTACCATGAAACGGAGAACCAAACGGAACCAATCTCATCCTTTTCACAAGTATCGTACTCTCGGAGCTCTCGCCCAAATTCGTGCCTCACAGATTATTGCTCGATACCACCGAGTTAACTTATCGCGCCGGCTCGCTCTGCATCATTCGCAGCCACATCCACTCTCAAATGAGGATCAACCTCAAATAAATGCCAGTGATGATTTTCCTTACTGCGTCGAGACAATCTATGCTCCACGATGTCCGCAGAGGAAGAAAGTCATTGCCCCTAAGTCTGTCTTGTTTACAATTGATGGCCCAGTGAATTCACCCATGAATTCCCCTGATATGGTAGTTGATTTGTCTAATAATGACACTAGTGTCGCAAATTGAATCGAATATATGAATTATTTAGTTTTTGTTTGAATAAAAAATTAAGCTGGTACTTCTTATAGGATGTAAATTGTTCAATTGCTGCAAAATAAATAAAAATCTATTCAGATAGAGCTTAAATGGATGAAATGAAACCGAAATTCCAATTTTACAACATGTTCCTGATTTTGACTTTGGATTTATTCCTTATTTATCTTGAGGACAATTAGAGTTCAATGCTTTTGGAGAGATAAGGAAATAACTGCTTCCAATTTGGTTTAATTGTATAATGTTGATCTCCTATGAGTGTCCTAACAAACGAAACAATATATATAACTTTACAACTACATGGTTGGTTAAGTGTAAATATTAAATTTGTTCATAAATATGATTTTTCCTTTAAGGACAATGGATTGATCATTTATATTATAAAATTTAACATTAATTTAGGGATTAAATTGATGTTCAAAGATGTATTGACACTACTAAAAAATGCCATTTTTTCAACGAAAAAATTCGGTCAAAAACTCTATTTTCGATGGAATTATCAACAGAATTCAAGTCGTCCAATTTCTCTTCGTTGTTAACACTTTTTTCGATGGAGGTTGAAAATTTTAGACTGAATTAATATTTTTCGTAGAAAACTTTTGAGGGAATTAAATTTCGTATGAACTTTATTGTCGAAGAAGAAATTCACTAAGACAAATAGAAGATGATTACAAAGAGTTAAGAGATCATCCATAAAAAGAAGAAACCAACCAAACGAAAACATCAATGAAGTAAAGCTTTCTAATCCATCATCAATCGGTAAGGGAAACCTTTTATAAGCCGACGTACTTTACGCCATGTTGAAGAAAAACATCCTTTAAAAAGAGATCAAAATTTGTGCATATAATATCCTAATCTTTTGTATTTGAAGGCAACCCATCAAATTTACTCAGATCACATGTATATGTACAATTAAACATACCAGAGGACTTGCTTGTATCTCTAGAATAACATCTACAAATTGTAAAGAAACAAAAAACTATTAACAATCATACACTTAGTTCTAAGGGGAGAATCACATGTCTAAAATCAACACAAACTAATCAAGGGGAAAGAAATGCATTCACAAGTCACAACTTTGAATCTTTATCCTCTAATTCATTTTCCCCATTACGAGAATTTCTCCGCCTCCTCCCAGCCATTTCATCTAACCTTCTCATTATTTCTGCCATCCCTCTTTCGTTAGCTCCTTACCTCTGAAGAACTTCTTCGTGCCAAGCTTCATTAGTGTCAAGCCTCAGAAGAACTTCTTCGTGTCGAGCGCTCCCTCTGCGCATCCCCTCTTCCAGCAACTCTTCATTATGCTCCATTAGTCTCGTCCAGACCATTCCACAGAGCTCCTAGGTCGATGCTCTGATACCAATTTGTTACAATCCAATCAACAGTAGACGAATTGAACCATAATTAACAAGTAACTATATATCTGAATACTCGATTTTCCATATATTTCTCAAAAGGTAATACAACTCAGAACCATTATAACAGATACAATGAAAAAGAAAGGAAACTATAACAAAAGGGAAATAACAATGCAGTAAACGAAAAGATAGTTATGAGATAATTGTAGAGGTCTCACGCTCTCCCAAGGACACCACTCTCTATGATTCTTAGCTGCCTTCCCCTTCCCCCATCCACAGATTATAATCAACTCCAGAGCATTCCCTCACCATTCTGTTACGGGGTACTTTGGGGATTCTTCATGACTGACGTGGCAGCTCTTTTGGTTCATTTGGGCCATTTTGTGTTTGGGTCCATATCCTTCTTGCTTTATCTCTCCTATAAGTCTTGGGCTGAATTGCATCAACTAGTATAGGAAAGAACCAACTCGACTGTTTTTTGAAAATTGAATAAAAGCTTTGTTAATTACGTGCTAAATACAAAATCATTACTATGTTTTCTTGAGATGGTACTACAGTATTAAACACAAAAGAAGTGAGGGACAAACTAACTGAATTGATAATTTAAATCTCTTAATCTGTTACCTAATAAATTGAATTATAAAATTTTATTCAAAGCACAATAACTCCTCTTTTATTATCACACTTCTATCATGCATAAAAATGGATTGAGTACCACTTGATATTTTCAAGTCAGATCATTAAGCTATAGGAAAATTTTAGCTTCTTTTTTTCAAGGTTCAAAAATAGAAAACGCCAAAACTTGTAAATGGGCATAGAATGGGAAATCTAACTGTAAAAACAATGTTATAAGCTTGAACCTGAATGTGAACGATGCATAGCAGAAAGCTGGCAATAGGCAGCCAGCTTTCTTCAGACGAGATTGACCTGATGAATCAATAAATCATATAATTCTCAAGTATAAATCATACCTTACCTAGGAGTTAAAAAACATTATAACTCAAATGCCATAAAATGCTATTGTGGGGGAATGCAAGATACTTCTTATTCTTCGGTCATGCATCAAACAAGAGACACAAAGACTCGAGCTATATAACAAGAAATTCATGATGTCAAATCAATGCTCTAGTAATCAAAAACTCGCATATGGCTTCTATAATCAGGGTTTTTGAATTTTTCCCCCCGCTTCGTGACGAGATTTGATGTTTTTATTGTGGATTTTTTTCCGGGAGGCGTAGGTGCGTATGAAAGAATATATTCGAATTAATTTTCAAATTAGTTTGTGTTATATAGAAAAAAGCTAATTTAGCATGTAATTTATGATGTGAAAATCAACTTAACAGAACTTTTTTTATTTTTTATTTTTCATGAAAAGTTCAAAAACCATTTTTACCATTTACTCTCTATGCTTTTTTCTTATCACTTATTTGTCTTATATTTTTTTGTATTCAAGTTCACCTTTAATACAATTAGTAATTGAATTAAATTTTTCATTCTATCCCTATTTTATGTGTATAAGAAATTGTTAATTAATCGGATATAAATTTTTTTTATCATTAGTAACAAAACTAAATAATTTTAGAATTTTTAAATTAATGTATCTCCATAAACATTATTGTGAAACTAAACTTTGAAATATATATATATGGGAAAAATATTTCTGCAGTTAATGCAGATAAGTTATCTACATTTATTCCTAAAACAACGTCGTTTTGATATTAAAATCTTAAAAAATTATAAACATAAAGACTATTATAACCCTGAAATAAATTAAAATTACAAAAATACCATGATTTCCGCCCCAAAACGATGTCGTATTGGGCGAACCCTATATATATATATATATATATATATATAACTCCTCATGAAACCATCTTATAGAAAAGATAAAGTAGCGTCCTCATGAAACCATATTATAAAAAGATAATGTAGCGTTTGTTCCATAAAATAGCATATTATGAAAAATAGAAATAAAGTTATGGGGTTTTGTAGAGACAAACGTCAAGTATTTATTTATTTATTTTTTCAAATCATTTTAATTACTTAGAATATACTAAACATTTTCTGAATTAAACATTTTTTGAAATTACAAAATACTAAATGGGGTAGATAAGTAATAAGAAAAATATATAGGAAGTAAGTGATATAAGAGTAAATAAATTATTAAATTTTATCTATTAAAAAATTATTAAATTTTTGAACTTTTCCCTCTCTTTTATCACAAGAAAGGGGTAAAGCCCTATACTGGATTACTTTGAAAGAGAACCAGGAATAGCAGGGGCAGGATAACAATCAAGGAAAGATTAATACGTGTTTGATTGTGTTCTTTTTCTTTTATTTTCTTAAAAATATTTTATGATATAATTAATAAAATAGGTTTTTTTTTTTGAATTTTTCTTTTATTTTAAAAGTTAAAAGTCAAAACACAAAATAAAAGCAATGCTTATTTGATAGTGTTCTGTCTTTTTTTAAAATAAACTGCTTTGTAGAATAGTTAATGAAATATGTGCTTTTTATTTTTTTGTGTTTTGAATGTAAAAAGACAAAATACAAAACAAAAACAATCCAGACATGTTATCTAAATTTGATTCTAAAATAAAAAAAATTAGAACTATTTTTACAAAACAAACCTTATCAAACATTTTGTTTTATTTTTTTGTTTTGAAAATCTAAAAATTGTTTTCGGAAACACAATTCAAACAGACTCTATATGTTCTATAAATTTGATTCTAAAAACTAAAAAAAGTTATATTTTTTAGAACTATTTTTACAAAACATGCCATATCGAACAATTTTTTTAGTTTTTTATTTTATTTTGAAAATCAAAAAATTGTTTTTGAAAACAGAATTCAAACATACCCTTTAGTCCCATAATTTTTTTATTAAAGCATTTTTAGCAAATTGGCGACACATAAATTTTGATATATCACATACTCGTCACTGGTTGTATTGTTCATTTTGATGACATATTTTGTAACATATGCCTTACAAGTTCATTGATTCTTTTTTTTTTTTGGTAAGCTCACAAGTTCATTGATTCAGATTGTGCATACATTTTCACACGTATGATCAATTCTTATGGAGATTGACATGATACCCAAGCTATTCTTTATGTTCTCAAATCATGGATTACATGATAAGTGATATTTTATACATGAATGTTTCTTATGTATATGAAGTTATTTGACCGTACACGTGGTAGGGGCGGAGGTAGGGATAGTTCCTCTCCACATACACATGGACGAGGGGCCATTAGAGGTCGAGGGCAGGACCACGTCTGCAAACACCATCACCGGATGCACAATAATCACCATTGGCAGTCCAAGAGACACTAGAGTCGTTTGTAGCTTCTACTGAAGAAAGCAAATGAGGTTATCTGACTAACCATGTACATATTCTACCTTTTTAATTCCATTAGAATTGTGTTCAAATTTGATAATTGTTAATATTATTGGCTTTTCATTGATGTTTGTTAAATAGGTTGACTCTCTGTCCCCACTAAAGGCTCCATATTATGGCCTACCTTCGCCTGTCACCTGGGATCTTGTTCCATGATGGGGGGAGATTGATCCTGTGGATAATCGTATGTGGGTACGACCGACCGTTGATGGCAGT